CATCAGCGGTATACCAGAATTTCAAGGGAGTCAGGGGGCAGAGGTGAATGTAGTGACCATCACTGAGGAGAAGATGCCAGGGATGCTGAAAGGTCTGATGGTAGATAAATCAACCTGATTGGATGGGCCACACCCCAGGTTTCTTAAGGAGATCACTGAGTTGATTGTACAGGTATTGGTGGTAATCTTTCAGGAATGACTGGTGCCAGAGGACTGGAAAATAGGTAACGTAACAGCCCTGTTTAGAGAGAGGCAGAAGAGAGGAAACAATAAGCCATTAGCCTGACCACGGTCATTAGTAACATTTTAGAGTCCATTATTAAGGATTAGATTGCAGAGTACATGGTAAAATAGGGCTGAGACAGCACAGCTTCATCAAAGGCAGGTTATGCCTGATAAATCTGCTGGAATTCTTTGAGGGGGTAATGAATAAGTTAGAGAAAGGAGAGCCAGTGGAGGTGTCTATTTGGAGTCTATAAATGTGAAGCAATAAAAGTAAAGCAGGCCAGACAGCATCCGAGGAGCAGGAAAGTCAATGTTTCGGGCTGAAACCCTTTGTCAGGACTGAAGGTTGCTAAATAAGATCAGAGCCCGAGGGGCAAGGTAGTGAAATAAATAGAGGATTGGCTGACTGGTAGAAGGCAGAGAATAGGGTTGAAAAGGGGTCCTTTTCAGGATGGCAGCTGGTGACTAGTGGAGTTCTGCAGGGGGTCAGTGCTGGGACCACAACTATTCGCATCATACATTAACAATCTGGACACAGGACCTGATGGCATTGCTGCTAAATTTGTAGGTGACACAAAGATGGGTGGAGGAACAGGTTGTGTGGAGGAACCAGGGGCTGCAGAAGGATGTTCCCTTTCGGGAAAGAAATCTTGCCTGATCTGGCCTACATGTGACTCCAGACCCACAGCAACGTGGTTGACTGTTAACCGCCCTCTAGAATGGGCCACAGTTGCTAGCCTAACCAACCTCACCCATGCATGAGTAAAAAAAAAAGACGCTTAAACATATAGGAAGAGCTCTAGGCTTAAATAAACAGTCGGTACAATTAGACAGAGATAGTAGGAACTGCAGATGCTGGAGAATCTGAATGATGCTGCTTGGCCTGCTGTGTTCATGCCTTGTTATCTCTGGTACAATTAGACGGGCGGGCACAACAGCAGTTGTCCTGCAATAATACAAGTGTTGTGCGGCCAGGAATTATGGAAGCTTGTAAAAGCCAGCCCCAATCACAACCTCTTTTCAGTCTACCCAGAGATAGTAGGAACTGCAGATGCTGGAGAATCCAAGACAACAAGGTGCAGAGCTGGATGAACACAGCAGGCCAAGCAGCATCATCTATGATGTTTCAGTCTACCCAGCCCAGTCCCTTAGGCTGGCTGTCTGTACTGCTGTTCTCCTCCACCCCGATTATCAATGAGAAAATCCTGGCTACAGCCAAGAACTCAAGCAGCGCCTTTAATTCAACGCTCTCAGTCCAAGCACAAACACCACAGCTTCCAGCATCCCCCTCCGACAAACCCTCTTAAAGTGGCAATTACAGTGGGGCCCACAGCACTAAATAATTCAGACCCTTGCACTTACGCCTTTAATACAGACAAAACAGCTCCCTGAGAATGACCAAAGCAAAATGTTGACACGGAGCTACAGAAGGGGAATGTGAAGACAGTGGGTTTTACTGAGCATCTTAAAGGCCTTAATCTTAAAGTGAAAGGCAGGAGGCTGGGAGGGGATTTCAGGAAATTTTATTTCACCCTGAGGGTGGTGAGGGTTTGGAATGCACTGCCTGGGAAGGGAGTAGTTGAAGCAGGAAACTTTAAAAAGGTACTGGGATGAGCACTTGAAATGTCGTATCATTCAAGTCTATGGGGCCTAGTGCGGGACAGTAGGTCTCCTGGAATATTGCGTTCAATTCTGATCACCCTGCTATTGGAAGGATTCAGAAAAGATTTACAAAGATGTTGCCAGGGTTGGAGAGTTTCAGCTATAGGGAGAGGCTGAATAGGCTGGTGCTATTTTTGCTGGAGCATCGGAGGCTGAGGAGTGACCTTATAGAGGTTTATAAAATCATGAGGGGCATGGATATGGTGAATAGAGAAAGTCTTTTCTTCGGGTTGGGGGGAGTCCAAAACTAGAGGGCATAGGTATAAGGTGAGAGGGGAAAGATTTAAAAGGGACTGAGGGTGGTGCGTGTATGGAATGAGGTGCCAAAGGATGTCGTGGGGGCTAGTACAATTACATCATTTAAAAGGCATCCAGATGGGTAGATGAATAGGAAGAGTTTAGAGGAAATATGAGCCAAATGCTGGCAAATGGGATTAGATTAATTTAGGATATCTGTTTGGCATGTACGAGCTGGACTGTACATCTCTGTGATTTTAATGTAGATTTAGAATAGTAGTTTTTTTTGTTGGTACAGACTGGGTAGGCCAAAGCATACCCTTCAAAAGTGGAGTGATGGAAATGTACAAGAGGCAGGAGGGCAGGCGGAGAACGCAGATTTGTAGAACATTAGGGACTCAGTGAGATGAAGAAGAGAGGAAACAAAGAGGTTTAGTTTCAAGAGATAACAAGGTGTAGAGCTGGATGAACACAGCAGGCCAAGCAGCATCAGAGGAGCGGGAAAGCTGACGTTTCGGGCCTAGATCCTTCTTCAGAAATGGGGGAGGGGAAGGGGGTTCTGAAATAAATAGCGAGGGAGGGGGAGGTGGATAGAAGATGGATAGAGGAGAAGATATGGAGAGGAGAGGGGACGGGACGGACAGGTCAAAGAGGCAGGGGTGGAGCCAGTAAAGGTGAGTGTAGGTGGGGAGGTAGGGAGGGGATAGGTCAGTCCAGGGAGGACGGACAGGTCAAGGGGGTGGGATGAGGTTAGTAGGTAGGAGATGGGGTGGGGCTTGAGGTGGGAGGAGGGGATAGTTGGGAAGAAGGACAGGTTAGGGAGGAAGGGACAAGCTGGGCTGGTTTTGGGATGCGGTAGGGGGAGGGGAGATTTTGAAACTTGTGAAATCCACATTGATACCATTGGGCTGCAGGGTTCCCAAGCGAAATATGAGGTGTTATTCCTGCAACCTTCGGGTGGCATCGTTGTGGCACTGCAGGAGGCCCAGGATGGACATGTCGTCGAAGGAATGGGAGGGGGAGTTGAAATGGTTCGCGACTGGAAGGTGCAGTTGTTTAGTGCGAACCGAGTGTAGGTGTTCCAAATGGAGGTACAGCTGAACCAGGATCAGTTTAGGTCAACAAATAAAAGGGGCTTGGGGCCACTTTTTGAGGAATTTTCAGGATCAATGCTGAGATGCTATCTGCCCCCGGCTAGAGAGTTCAGAACTGGAGAAAGTGATGAAAGTCGCAGTCTCAGGTTGAGGAGTCAGTCCATTTATGACTAAGAGAAGGAAGAGGTGGTAATCTTTGGGATTCACTCCCTCAGAAGGCTGTGTAAACTCAGCCATAAGGGAACAAAGGAGCATGGGGCAAGAGCAGAAATTGCAGGAGAAACTCGGTAGGGTCTGGCAGCATCTGTGGGAAGAAAGCAGAGTCTTCATCAGTCATTGGACTCGAAGCATTAACTTTCTTCACAGAGATGCTGCTAGACCTGCTGAGTTTCTCCAGCAATTTCTGTTCCTGTTTCAGAATCTCCAATCCGCAGTTTTTGGTTTTAGTTTAGAAACGGCAGGTGAATCATAAAAGCAGGTACACTTATATAGCACCTTTCGCAACCTGGAGCATATCCCAAAGTATTTGACAGATGATGGAGTTGTTTCGGGGATTAGTCATTGTCCTAATATAGAAAAGGCCACTTCGCCGACAGAAAGATCCCATGTGTTAACAGCCATGAATGTTAAATTCATAGATAAGACGTTGGACAGTAAACCAGGATGCATTATCCCTGTGTTCCTTCGACACGGCCCCCAGAGGCTCTCCGAGGGTAGTCAACACGTCACTAGTTTAATAACATGTCCAAGAAAGGAGAGACATCAGTGCAGCATTCCCTCTGTACTGGCACTCCAGGGTCAGCCAAGAAATGTGTGCTGAAATCTCAGGAGCTATGATTGCACTGATTGGCCAGGCAGCCATAATGACATATACAATCCAAACTGACATCTCCAGAGACAGTAGGAACTGCAGACGCTGGAGAATCTGAGATAACAAGGTGTAGAGCTGGACGAACACAGCAGGCCAAGCAGCATCAGAGGAGCAGGAAGGTTTCAATAAAACTACGCCAGCAGTGTCACCAAGTGGAGCCAAACACTCATAACTTCCAGGAAGCTGGAATCATGCTGGTGCCAGGAGTGCATTAAGCTGCATTTCTATAGCACTTTCAACATTTAGGGATGCCCCAAAGCTCATCACAGCCAAAGACATTTCTTTGCAAAACGTACTTTCTGTGGTAGTATAATAAAGTCAGCAACAAATTTCTGTGCAGCAACATACCAGATCCGAGAATTTTCTTCAAGTGATGTTGATTGAGGAATAAATATTTGCTCCACGACTGAGAGAAACTTCCCACTTCACATTCCAAAACTGGCCTTAGGATAATTTAAACCTCATAAAACAGGTAGGACACTCATTTTAACAGTACATTTCTGAGATGGCGCCAGTGACAGGACGGTGCTCCCTCAGCGCTGACCCTCCGACAGAGCGGTGCTCCCTCAGCGCTGACCCTCCGACAGTGCGGCGCTCCCTCAGCACTGACCCTCCGACAGTGCCCACTCCCTCAGCACTGACCCTCCGACAGTGCGGCGCTCCCTCAGCACTGACCCTCCGACAGTGCGGCGCTCCCTCAGCACTGACCCTCCGACAGTGCCCCACTCCCTCAGCACTGACCCTCCGACAGTGCCCACTCCCTCAGCACTGACCCTCCGACAGTGCGGCGCTCCCCCCGTGCCGAAAGCTATGGTGAGTGGTGAACACACAGATCGCCCTGAAACAGACGAGCCCCCTTTAACCAGAAACACAGCCCTTGCAAAGGAAACTTGCTCAGGTTTGAATACTGAATGTGGGTAAACCACCCCCCAATTCCACACCACATCTCGTACTCTGCCTCAATGCTCCCTCCCATTTCGCTTTGTAACGCGGCACACACCTTCCTTCGTTCGGTAGAACGTGCTTTCGCTTTCTGACTGGGTGGGAGAGGAAAAACCGTGTTTGAGAGTGAGAGAGAGAAAAACAGGCCTTAAAGAGGCGGAGTCTTTCAGTCGATACTGGGAAGCAGAGGGTTTTTTACATGGGCAAGTATCGAGGGTGTAGCCAGTCAAGAGAGCGAGAGAGAACGGAATAGGCGACGTTCGCGGAGAGTTGCGATAGAGAGACCAACAGGACACCAAGACAGACGAATAACAAGATCCTCTGAGGGACTGATTCGGTTTCACTGGGAATCTGCGGCTCCATTATCAAGTGAAATCTACCAGCTTGCACATTTCATTCGGCAATGGCTACGTTACATCTGATTCCTCTCGCCTTGCTACTTCAGATGTGGACTGGTAAGACTCGTAACGTTAACTGCAGCAAATTCAGGCTTGGTTTCCTTTGAGAAGTAGCGCTTGCTTTCCTAGCCAAAAAAAAATAACATGGCCCATGTTTAGGATCGCCATTATTTAGGTGTGGCTTGATACAGGTGGGAGGTGTGTGTATATTGTATATTCTTGGTCGTGAATGATTTAAAATTGGGAAAGAGGGAATTTAGTTTGAAATGGCTACGCTTTGTGTCTCTCTGCTTCTTCTCTCTTTCGTCTCAATACAGTTGCAGTACAATTCCCTACTCCCTCTGATCCCTGATGAAGCAGAGCTGTTTTTTTCTTCTTTTGGTGTAAAGTTACAGCGAACGGGTGAGCTCAAATTACCCCGAGGGCAGAACCCAGTTTTTTTTTTCTTTTTCTTCCTACAACACATGCACACACACAAACCAACTGCATCTATTTAAAAATCCAACTCCACCCCTCACCATTTCAAAACAGGGGAGAAATAGTTTTTTTTTAAACGAATTAGGCGTGTTCTATTTTGTTTCTCAACCTTCCAGAAACAAAGGTATTTTTCTGGACGTGTGGGAGTGCTTTAGCCTTTGTCTGAGAATATCTGATTTCCAACATGCACTTTATCTATCTATCTATCTATCTCTCGGTCGCTTAGACTCTCCTCGATAGGATCATGAGTCGGCCTTTATTTACATTTTCACTGCAGGCTACACAATACAAGGGAGTTTTTTTTTCTCTTTTAAGTACTTTTTTGTTTTAAAAATAATTGTTTTAACATGCAGTCGTTTGAAGTGGCTGGTGATGTTGGAATATTTTCAGTTTTTGAGAGAATTGGAGGATTTAGTTTGGTGGGGATGTGGTTGTGAGCAGGCTAGAGTCCTGACTCTCTGTTAGAACCGGTTTTAGTGAGCAGTGGTAAGGAACCAGAGTCTGATGTTGGTGCAGAGCTGGATGAACACAGAAGGCCGAGCAGAAAGGCTGACGTTTCGGGCCTAGACCCTTACTCTGGGTAGAGCTGTTTATAATGATTGGTGAGTAACAGTGATAGATCCATTATTATCAAATAGACACACATAAACTCAGTTCTTCTCCACCTCCCCCCCGACTATTCTGCTGCCATCTTGTCATGCCCCTCGCTCTCAAAACTGGGGTTTGAGACTCTGCCCATTTTCCAGTTCTGCTGCCCACATCGCTAAACCCTCCTGTGTTAGCTGACCTAGATTGGCTCTTCATTTATTTTTAAAAGTTCTCATTCTTGTTTTTAAATGCTTTCTTTGCCTGACCCCTCCCTGTTTTTGTAACCTCCTCCAGGTCCAGAAACCACCTCTGCTTCTGCATCTGTTCAGCATTGGAAAGCATGTCTTTAGCTATCTCTGGACCTGTGTTCATACTCCCTAAATCACCTCCCCACCCACCCCACCCACCCCACCATTAAGATATGTGTTAAACCACCATTTTTGACCAAGCTTTAACGTCTTGGGCTCTGTGTCAAATGGTTAGTGTACTTGTGAGACCCGAAGCCAAGCTAAAGGCACTATAACCAGTCAGATTGTTGCTTTATTTATATTCAAACACAGGATGTGGACATTACTGAAGCTAGCATTTGTTGCCCAGAGGGCAGTTAAGACTGAACACATTGCTATGAGTCTGGAGTCACATGTAGGCCAGACCAGTAAGGATGGCAGGTTTCCTTCCCTAAAGGACCCAGCTGGTTTTTTTTTAAATGACGTTCAACATGCTTTACTCATTAGACTGTCATTTTATTTAGGTTTATAAATTGGATTTAGAATTAGCCACCCACTCTCTGTTGGGATTTGAACCAGCTCCCAGGAACAATTAACCTGGGGTTCTGAATTTCTAGTCCAGTGACAATGTGGTTACGTCTCTTCCCACCACCCCCCAAGGTTGAGATTAAATGAGTGCAGTGGAGTTTTGGTGAAATTGTATCAGGAATACAATGTACAGTTTTCATCCCTTTACTGAAGAAAGGGTGCAGTGGGATTACAAACAGTTTGATGCAGGTCTTACTTTATGCAAAATGGGTCGAATGGTTTGTTTTTATTCACTTACGGGACGTGGGCATTTCTGGCTGGTCCCAGTATTTATTGCCCTTTTGCGAAGGTCGTGGTGAGCTGCCTTCTTGAACTGCTGCAGTTGGGGCCTGTACAGATTTGAAATTTCAGAAGAATGAGAGGTGGTCTTGTTGAAATATAAAATCCTGGGGGATTGATGGGGCTGTAACTGGGATGATGTGGTGTTTTCTGCCCCCCGCCCGCAATTGTGGGGCAGTCTACAACGAGGGACCATGGTTCAGAAGTGAGTAGCCCCCCAGCCCCAATCAAGATGGAGATGAGGAAGAGTTTCTCTTAAAGATCATTCGTGTATGGAATTCTCTTCCCCAGCTAGCAGTAGAGGCTGGGCCATTGATTATATTAAAGGGCGAGTTAGGTGGGTTTTGTTTTTAAAAATCGACAGTCGAGGGCAGAAGATAAGTGGAATTAAGGTCACAATTGGATCAATATGATCTCATTGAATGGCAGTTCGGGATTAAGGGGCCAAACGGCCTACTCATGCCTCTATCCCTTGTGTTCCTGTACGTATACACTAAAAGAAATGGGTCGATAGTTCGGAAAGATTACTAGGTTTGACATTGGGTGTTAATGGCCTTTTAAGAGGGAGAAGTGTTTCAGTAGAGAATGGCAAGAGGGGCAAGGGCAAAAAATTTAGTTCAATTCTGTGAACTCAGCGTGGGGCTGGAGATTGACTGACTTCGTTTCACAAACTAGCCGTCATCATTCAGCCCATTGAGTCCACACTGTCTCTCTGAAGAACATCTCACCCTATCCCTTACCCCTGTAACCGTGCTGCTCCCATGGCTAACCCACCTAGCCTGCCCGTCCCTGTTTCCTTTGGGTAATTTCACATGTCCATTTCACATGTCCAATCCACCTGACCTGCACATCTTTGGACTTTGGATATAATGGAGTTATTGCCCGCAATCTCTCTCTCATTGCTCATTATTCATTAATCTACAATAGACTCACGAGCACAGGGCATGGAAAGCCCCTCCTGCACTTTTGAGGTCATAGGCCCAAAGTTCCTTCTAAATCTGTTGCAGTCGCAATACGTCACCTCAGACATGACTCATTGGCTGAATCCAACAATGCGTTTCGCTTTGGAAATATAATTCAACCCCATTTACCTCTTCCTCCCTCCCAGAAACCACTCTCCTCTCCCGGAAACAATCTGATTATATTTACTGTGCAGGGAGAGAGAAAGAGAGAGTTTACTTGATCAAAGATAACAGCATTCTTGTGCTGTGTAGGAATTCTGGCTGGCCTGCATTTATGAGATACCCTTTCATCTTCCTGCAAGCCAGTGGAGTGAAGGGGTGTGGTGTGGAAGGCTGGAGCATTTGGGAGCCTTTTCTTCTTTTTTCTTCAAAAAGGCTGCTTTTCTAAGATGTTTCAAGTATCGGCTTTGCCTCATTGATCAAGCCCCACTACAGTGAATAGAATATAAAATTCATATTTACTACATTTCCAATGAGCTGCTGCATTAAGGCCTCCACTGGAGGCTGAGTGGTTAGCACTGCTGCCTCATGGTGTAAGGGACCCTGGTTTGATTCCTATCTCGGGTGACTGTCTGTGTGGAGTTTGCATATTTTCCCTGTGTCTGCGTGTGTTTCCTCCTGGTGCTCCCACAGTCCAAACATGCGCAGGTTAGAACATAGAACATTACAGCGCAATACAGGCCCTTCGGCCCTCGATGTTGCGCCGACCTACGAAGCCCATCTATCCTAAACTATTCCATTATCATCCATATGTTTATCCAATGAATGTTAGGGTGGATTGACCATGCTAAATTGCCCATAGTCTCCAGGGATGTGCAGGATAGTTGGGTTAGTAATGGGAAATGCAGGTTACAGGGATAGGGTGGGTTCAGATGTTCTTTGGAGTGTTGGTGTGGACCCAATAAGCTGAATGGCCTGCTTCAACACTGTGGGGATTCAATGATTCTGTGCTGTCAGGAGAGTTAAAATATCCAACAGCTGCTGTTAGAAGAATACAGACAGGAAAGAGTGAAACATCATTCAGTTCCTTAAGTTGCTCTCCACGTCAAGAGGGGTGGTGTGGACATGTTGGGCCGAATGGCCTGTTTCCACACTGTGTACGGATTCTGTTAAATTGTTTGTTTTTTTTCTTGCCTCTCACTCCCCTGTTTTTAGGGAACAGGATTTTACAGACTAATGGTCCTTGCAGAGTGAAAAATATATTTGTCATCCCTCTGTCTTTAAAGGGGGTCCTTTTAATTTTTAATTGTACACAAGGGCATGTCCATTCAACACCCAATCTGATAGGCCCCTTCCGGATCTTGTATGTTTCTTTAAGAACAGAGGGTTTTGAGATTCCCTCTGACACCATGGACCCCTATAGACTGGCCCTTCATCACGTGATACTTAGTACCTGGTTGTTATCATGTAGTCATCGAGGTTTGCAGCATGGAAACAGACCCTTCAGCCCAACTTGTCCATGCTACCCAGTTTTCACAATTAATCTAGTGCCATTTGCCTGCGTTGGGTTCATACCTCTCCACACCTATCCTATCCATGTACCTGTCCAAATATTTCCAAATGACAAAATTGTACTCGCATCCACCGTTACCTCTGGCAGCCTATTCCAGACACTCACCACCCTCTGTGTGGGGGGGAAAAAAATAACTGCCCCTCTGGACCCTTTTTATATCTCTCCCCTCTGTCCTGTGAGATCTTGCTGTGCGCAGGGATACTCTGTGACCACCGTCCCCCTAGAAAAACAAAGTGCTGCGTTGATTGCACAATGCTTAAGACTGAAAGGTGCTACAGAAATGAAAGATCTTCTGCATGAAACTCTTTTGCACTGTTTGCCCAAGGCCTAAACTCTTCATGGTGAACAACGTATTACAATCTGAATGAATCTGCTGCTGATCAGATGCTTGTGTCTTATGGGGAATGTCCCTCTCTGCTGTCC